AGAACGTTATTTATTGTGTGAATCTCGTAAAAATATTGACAGAATCTGACAGCTGTGGATTTGTTCCATATCATAAGTAACCTTCTCTGTCTTGTCTGTCAGTGTCCTCTTTGTCCGCGATTTTTCTGTGTGAAAAGGGTCATTTGCGTGAGTCTCACGGTCAATGCGTGAGAGTTGGCAGCTCTGCCTGCTAGTAATCTTCTCTATTAATCTCCAGTATTATTACATTGTTTGATACAATATTGTTTCATTTGATATTATGTAAATATGAATTTTTATTTTATATTGGTTTTATTATTACCATATGTTACTTGTATTTATATTGTTTAAAGATTTAAGTTAATATTGTGTCCAGTTTGGCCCTGTAAATTAAAGGGTATTATTTTTTGATAAAGTGTGTGCGGTTTCATTTTCTTAAGTACCGATTTAAGAACCGTTTAAGCACCGGAACCGTTTAAAAAATACCGAGTAGGTACTGGAATCGGATAAAACCCAAACGATACCCAACCCTAAGTGTAAGTCTTATAAGGTTATTTTGTCATTCAACATCGAAATCTGATAGCCCCTCCCCCTCTGCTACGTAATTAAAGATGAAACAGTTGAGCGCATACAGTTTCCAACATTCTTTTTTTATACTACAAAACGACATAGAAAAGTGCACAAGTACGTGAATTGGGACACTCTACATCCGTCATTGAAAAACTCTCCTTTTCAATCACCTGACTCCATTCTGATATGCAACGCTCACTTCGGATCAATTCTGGAAATACACTCAAGCCCCACCCTACATATTTTCATTGAAATTAAATTAATTACACAAATAAATTTGGGTTGCAAATGATATTATATTGGTTCAGAAAACATCAGGGTAAAAATATCCTGCAAACAGTTTAGAGCTACGTCTCTCATCCCAGACTCTTATTTTGGCAACTGTTACTAAAGCAAACACACTTTTTTAACACTTCTGTTTTCCGTCTGTGTTTATTTTTCTTTCTTATTTTTGGCTGTGTGCACTTATTTAAGACAAACTAAGACTCTCTGCTCATCCTGCAGGGACGCAACCACCACAGCCAATGGGATACATCTTCCCCAAATGTTCTGATTAGTGATCAATCAAGATAGTTCAATGACTGAAGGTACTGAACAGGTAGAAAGTGAGTGAACACTACAATGAGAGTGGAACAGCATGCTGGGAGTTTATAGGAACATAGCAAACAAACCCCCTGCTAGCATTTAGCTACTGTTTACTTCATAGAGTGGATGACATCAGTGTTCTCTCTGTCCAATTCTGAGCTACTTTATTCAACACACACAGATCCATCCCAGACTCTACAGTAATGTTAACCAGCTCAGAGCTCTGCTGATGCATGTAAACACTGACTCAACCATACATGTGAGGATCAATTACTTAACCATACGCTTTCATGTGAGCAGATGAGTGGGATATTGGTGGATCTTTGTCATCTATGTGAAATGGACTGCAAAGAAGAAGAAAAACAACACAGGCAGGCGGTATATATTTTGTCTCTGCAGGCCTGGGTGTCGTCACTTAACCAGACTAAAAGCATCACTTGTAATTTTGGCGAGGGGTGATTGGCTCTTTGATCTTAAAGTTACACAACTTGTTTTCTAAAACAGTTTTGACTCTTAATTCTGATTGGATGAGATGCTCTTTAAGCAGTTGCATTAATGCGCAACATACATTGCTTGGCAACAGTAAACAGCCTACTCTAATGAATATTACTTGCTAGAATAATTATTATGATGGATTCCCAGGGAATGCATGAACTAATGTATACCTTGAATGCAATGTAAGTCACTATCGATAAAAGCGTCTGCCACATGCAAAAATTTACATTTTATTAAAGGGTTAGTTCACCCAAAAATGAAAATTATGTCATTAATGACTCACCCTCATGTCGTCCCAAGCCCGTAAGACCTCCGTTCATCTTCGGAACACAGTTTAAGATATTTTAGATTTAGTCCGAGAGCTTTCTGTCCCTCCATTGAAAATGTATGTACGGTAAACTGTCCTTGTCCAGAAAGGAAATAAAGATATCATCAAAGTAGTCCATGTGACATCAGTGGGTTAGTTAGAATGTTTTGAAGCATCAAAAATACATTTTGGTCCAAAAATAACAAAAACTACGACTTTATTCAGCATTGTATTGTCTTCCGGTTCTGTTGTGGATCCGCGTTCAGTTACGCTGCTGACGTAACACGCTGCTGACGTGTGTCTGGTGTGTGTGTGTGTGTGTGTGTATTCTGGTTCTGTTGTGGATCCGCGTTCAGTGACGCTGCTGACGTAAGACGCTGCTGACGTGTGTCTGGTGCGTCCGTGTATTCGGGTTCAAATAAATATGGCTGGGCAAAAAATGCAAGTCTTCCTCTGTGTCGAAATCCTTAGACATGTTTGCGAAGATTGTTTTGTTTCCAGCGTGCGTCTCCCTCAGACTGTAAACGAAGCTCGGGCGCACCAGACACACACACACACACACACACACACACACACACACCAGACACACGTCAGCAGCGTCTTACGTCAGCAGCGGCACTGAACGCGGATCCACAACAGAACCGGAAGACAATAGGCTTTATGCCGAGCGTCACGTGACCAAGCCGGAAAACAGATCACATCGCTTCCGATTCAGGTCTTTTGTAGGGGCTTCATGAAATTTTTTGCGGTTTTACTCAAGATAACTTGAAAGGACCAAGCAAAAATGAGCATAACCAATGTCCCTCGCATGTGCAGATTGATATTTAAAAGTTTTTACATTTTTCTTCTTCACACTAACATGAGGGAGAGTCATTAATGACATCATTTTCATTTTTGGGTGAACTAACCCTTTAAACTGCACGTTTTATTAAACATTGGCATCTTATATCAGGTAATTACACGCATTTTATAAAATCAATAAGCCACTCAAAACAGTGGGAGAAAAAGAAATAGGCAAAACATAGCGAGGAGTGGATTATGGCTCTGAGTTTTGTATATAAAATTATATATACGTATTATATATATGAAATTTGTGTAATCAGACAAAATGATTAACAAAATACTCAACATAAAGGCAGTTTTACTTCCTTAATATTACATATTTCTAAGTAAAACTTCGAAAAATGTAGGAGGGGACTTGAATTTATCCATTGGGAACTGACTGGATTGTGAAAACTGGGCATTACAAATACTGGGAGAATGACAGGTGGTTGGAGGGATATGTGATGTCAGCTGACTAAGAAAATCATTATGAAGACAGCCATTTTTAATTTGGAGTAATGTGCAGTGATGCATCATGCACAATTAGACCAGGTACATCCACATGTTCAGGTTTTATTCGGTTTTAAGCATTATTTGTGGGTAATTTTGACAACATTGAATACATTTTTTTTATTTTCTGTACAATTTATCACACTAATGTGCTTTAATGTTCACCCAGGAGGTGTACACAATGGCACAAAGTCACACATGTGGTATTCCCAGTCAGAAATGACCAGCCTTCAAAAAAAAAAAAAAAAGCTTCAATAGCTGTCAACCTGTTTTATATAAATTGGGACATGATTTGTATTTTTTTTTTTGAAACTGACTGATTGTAGGCCTCATTGATCTGAGCTTATAATGTTCAAAAATGAACATCCATTGAAAATGAATGGGGAATATCGAAAATAAGAGAAACACTTAGTGTCCAGGAGCATGTTCATCATGTTCATGTTCACATTACATGTGTGCTTGCAAAGCTAAAGGCCTTGGACCTATGCATGTACACACACACACACACACACACACACATTTATGTACACAAACAAACTATTTTGAGTATTACAGGCTTTCTTTTTCAGAGATGAACTTTATCCTCAGATCAATGGTTAAGTTATAACTTAAGTTAAGTTAAGTTAAGTCATATGATCAATAAGTTTCAGAAATAAATACAAAACATGTCCTAACTGAAAGAAAACAAGTTGACAAAAAGATTGAATCCAATATTTGGTGATAATATAGCATTATAAGCGATTTACAAGCAATTTTTAAAAGGCCGGTTATTTTTGACCGGGAACGCAAAAGGTGTTACAGGGTTTTCAACACAGCACAAGGATCAGCTGTGACTTCACGTAAACTTTAAACTTCACCATCCCACCCTAAATGAGTATTGCATGAGGATAATGATTCGCCATTGTTTTTAAAACAAAACCTCAATTCTAGGACAGGAAGCACCTCATCACATGTTGACGTTGCCATAGTGACAAATGGCCTCTTCTGAGGCGCTCAGGAGATGCAGATGCCAGTAAATCACTAATGTTGACTTGGGCTCGTACCCACACATATACACAGCGACCACAGAAAGGCCGAGAGTGCCCTGGCTCCAGAAGTTGACTGGTTTGTGAGTTCCAGTAAAGGTTGGTCTAGCTGGTTCCTCCCTTGCGCCCTGCGCTAAGAGTGCGTTTATAGTGCTAATGCTTGCGGTGAGCAGGCCATTATGATCCAAACCCATCAGAACTGCTCCAAACAGACTGCGGCATTATAAAACAAACATCTTAAGACGGACAAATGCGCAGGTAACTTAGGCTCCAAGTTTGTAGATGCAATTTACATCTGAAGACAGATTTGTGCATTGAATACCCAGATCTAGGTTTCATTTGTACCTTGACACACGGTAACACAGGCTCGACACACAACATCTATATGATGCTTTGTTACATCAACGGAGACATTTAAATCAGTCAGTTTGTTACAAAACAAAACAAGCATTAACTGCCCTTTACTGGAAACTGTCAGGTTGCACTTTAAAAAGTGTTATTATAGGAAGTTTGTAGTCCATATACAACACGTCAAACCCACATGTACTGTCAAACGTTCATAACTGCTAAACTGCCACAGACACACATGCAAGCTACAGCAGACACACCAGACATTCTCGTATGAACGTTACAACTACCAAAACTAGCTTTCTGGACACCACACTGGCGGAGAAGGAGGGAGGGGAATGCCACGACGGGTGACTTACCTCGCAGTAAACTGGGAGAGTAGCTGGAGAATGTGTCGAAGATGCTGTTTGAAGCCATGTGTCCCGCTCAGGAGGGAAAAGATCTGGCCTCTCCGCCGCCTTACCGACTGTCAGCCTGAGAGAATGACAGTCAGAGAAAAAGAAATAGAGAAACTACATAGACTGCCTGCAACCAAGAATTTGGGGTTTGAGAGTGCCACAGGAATCTTTCGCCACAAGCCGACTAACAGAACAGCATATGTGCCGTGTGGTGAGAGCGAGCGATAGAGAGTGAGAGAGAGAGAGAGAGAGAGAGAGAGAGAGAGACAGAGAAAGAGAGAGAGAGAAAGACTAAGTGAGGATAGCAACTGAGAGATGGACTCACCTTTGACAATGGACACTTTTGTATGTCTGTCTCTCTCTAGAAGTGGTTGTTGTAGTGTCTACGTGGTCTAGTCAGATAGTTGAAAGTTCAGGTGTCTGACGCTCTTGCAATGGTGATCTCCGTGGTAACGGCCTGTCAGTCGCATGTCTGAGGTATCCGAGGTCACGGCTCCCGCGGTAATGCTGCTGCACGGCAATCCCATGATCTGATTGGTGGAACTCAGGTCACATGACTCCCTCTCTCTCACTTGCATGCAGTGAAGTTCTCTTTTCCTTCCAATGTGTGTTTCTCAGCCATGATTGGCTGATAGTTGTTTTTTGAATGGTTTCTCAGAGGATGATGTGGCCTTCTGTAAGAGGGACCACAAAAATACACAGCTCATACCCAACACAAACTCTCGAGTGAAACAAATTGCAGAAAATGCGGGACAGAAGAGAATTATTTGGGGAAAGAGAGTGTTGAAGTGTGTTTTGGTGGTTTTGGGGCCTGTTAAACCACCCTTCCACCCTCATTCACCACTTGATAGTTTATCAATGTTAGTCTCATTAGAAACAGCCATGCCAGTCATTTCATTCGTCCTCCCGCTCTCTTTTTACCCTCATTTGTCCTCAATACTCTCTGCTCTCACAGTTTAATATGGCTGTGGGCGGCCTACTTTTTATTTCCGAAATATTTGCGGTGTTTAACACACCTTTCATGAATGGCCTGATTTCAGTGGCCCTGTTAAAAGCAAGCATGTGTATCTGTTTATCTACACCATCTAACGGTGCATGTTATGCATATGTGTGCGTGTGAAATTCATCCCTAGAATGAACCTCACGTGCAACGACAGACAGATAGTGTGTGTATGTGTGTGTGTGTGTGTGTGTGTGTGATTGAGCTGATGTTGTAACCACAGTGCCATGAAAATGAGCACTTGTGTGCTGGTCAGCCGGCAACACAAGGAAAATGACACAGTGGAAGTGTGTGTGTGTGTGTGTGTGTGTGTGTGTGTGTGTGTGTGTGTGTGTGTGTGTGTGTGTGTGTGTGTGTGTGTGTGTGTGTGTGTGTGTGTGTGTGTGTGTGTGTGTGTGTGTGGCAAATAACACACTTCCAGGGAGTGTGGCCTATGGTGAAGCCACAGAATGACTTCAGGGCTTTTTATCAACCTTATTCCAACCTCACACATATACACATGCAAATCAATCTCAAAGTTTCCCCTATGAGAATGACCCAGCTCGGTCAGTGTGTGTTTGTGTGTGCACCTCTGTGGGATCTGCTGGTTAAACGTCATTTTCACATGAGTAAAACAGAATATAGGAAGAAGACTGTAGCGGGACTTTATTTTAGTCATTAGGAATTGATAGGATCCAATGATGGGTATTCAGGACCAGAATGGTATGGAAGTTTTTTTTGTTTTTTGTTTTTTGAGTAAATGCAGTCTGTAGGTCAAATTTACCCTCAAGAGCATCTTGATGCATACAATATATCGTTATTTCCTACTGTTGCTGTAATGTTAAACTAACTAGTAAGTTAGTAATGTTAATTACTTGCAAGTGGGAAAATTAGAAAGACTTCATTATGGTTGCCTAAAATGACTAAATCACTTTAACATTTTTTTTATTTTAAATTTGGAATAATGTGCACAGAGGAAACGTATTAAGACATTAAATGGAGTCAATTTGGATGTCCAACAGACATATTCACATTTTTATGCACATTATAACTGTGTATAAATTTAGGAAGTACACCACAAGTGCGTGTATTCCCGAAGAGTGTGTATCGGACGTTGAGGATGGGGCCGTCCAGCTTCTTTCCTCAGACACAAACACCATCTGCTCTGTGTTTTGGGAAAAGGGTTTCTTAGCAGCGTCGTTCACTAACCACAAGCAAAAATGGTCGAAGCAGTGCGGCAGCAATCGGACAGAGATGTTTTTTTTTCTTCCTCTCTCTCTTGTTTATCAAGCCCCTGTATTTAAGTTTAATATAACTGTAGTGTTTTGCTGAGAGACCTGCGGTGGGCCAAACGTTGCCAATGTCCCTCCACCCCACGGGTGGGGCAGAGCGGGGCGGTGGCTAGAGCGTGCGGTCGCGAGCGCAGATGTGCAGGGGCTTATTTTGTGGTGAATAAATTGCAGGCTGCCCCATGTGCAACTCATAAAGGGGGAACACAGCAAAGGACAGAAGGAAAAATACAGTGATGAGGTGGCCATCTTCACTTCAAACGCATTTTCGGACCAAAAGCAAACGCCCAGAGTCTAAATCTGTCTATGCCGCTGAAGGGGGTTCTAGGCTCTTGGATGGAAGGATGAGAAAGGAATATGAGAAACGAACTACAGTCGGCCATTTCGATTTCATTAATCCCAGAGTCACAGGTTTTGTGATTCATCCTGTGACGTTTCATTTGTTAAGATGAAAGTTTATCCTATTAAAGTAATATTGACTCATTTGAATCATTTGAGTTTGGGGCAGGACTGTCTGGTTTTCCAATTAATGGAAATATGTTTGAAAATGATAATTAATTGAGAAATTCTGGTGACATCTGGTAGAAATTATTTCACCTTTAACTTTCTTATAGTGATCTTAATCAGAATCCAAAAATTAAATACTTGTAATTACATTATATTACATTTTAAAATACTATAAATAGCACTGTATATATATATATATATATATATATATATATATAATATATATTTAACGTTAAAACATGCTTGATTCCACAATGCTGTAGCGCTATATGTGCGTGATATTAACCCGCTTAGCAGAAAATGCAAGATCAACAATTAGTTGTATGCTGACATGATGACTTTTTAGGATGTGTTAACATCTATAAGGAGCTGTGAATGTGTAGTTAATTCATCGGCAGGGAAAAAAGATGTTTGTCAGACCATTTCAGCAGAAAATTAACCACACAAAAGCAACCTTTCACAGCAGCGTTCAACGTGTTCCCGCGCACACTCTGCCTGTCCCACATCTGATCGCTTTCTACTGTCATCTCTTCTCTCTGTGGAAACTCAAATGATCATTCTCAGTGAATTTATATATCAATATTATATATATATATATATTGAGAGAGAGAGAGAGAGAGAGAGAGAGAGAGAGAGAGAGAGAGAGAGAGAGAGAGAGAGAGAGAGAGAGAGAGCACAAAACCGACCTCCTAAAATTTGTGTTTTGAAGGTTTTTTCCCTTTTTTTTTTCCTCCACATTAAAGCCATGAACCAAACCAACCTGCTCCAAGAGGAATCACAAACTCACATTAGATCACATCACATAATCAAACCACATTACATTTGATTACAGTATATTTGAAGCACTTAAGCATATGAAAATCAGGAAAAGTAGTTAAAAGTACTTTTATGGGAGAATCAGCACTGCAAATGACGTTACTGAATCTAATGGTACAAAACCAAAAATATTTCCTTATAATCATTAATCAGTAATTGATTAATGTCAGATCTTAGTGTTGATCTGTTTAGAAATATTTAAACATAATGGCTAAAAATTAATTGGTTACACTTTAGTTTAGGGTCCAAATCTCACTATTAACGAGTTAATTAGCATGCATATTACTAAGATATTAGCTATTTATTAGTACTTATAAAGCACATATTAATGCCTTATTCTGCATTACCATATTTTACGTCCCTTAATACCTAAACTTAACAACTAACTTACTAACTATTAATAAGCAGTAATTAGGAGTTTATTGAGGCAAAAGTCATAGGTAATAGGTAGTAGGGAACTGGACCCTAATCTAAAGTGTGACCAATTTGGTTGTTTTTACTCCTGTTTGCTACATCATTATTATAGCACTTTTTCTAAACTAATCTTGTTTGTCTGTTTTTGACTAGTCCTGTTTTAGGCCCTTTCTATGGGGAAGTGGATGCTCATATGTGTTAATGAAAGATAACATTTGTGTCAATCCCTGGCTTCTCACACTTCTAAAATAACGTAAAGCTCAAATAAGTGTTGGATCCTTTTTTCCCACAGGTGCCATATCTGATGGTGGTTTCGATTCAACTTTTTTTCTTGCCACTGCTGATGCAAATGGATTTTTTGGTAAATAATAGGAATCGCAAATCATTCACTTTCAACATTCAATCAATGTAAGTCTTTTACTTTTTTGTCTGCCACAGGAAAACTGTAAGTTCATTAGTTAGAAAAGACAGCACATTAAGTCAAAACAGGCTGAACTTCTTTTCGTTGTAAAAAAAAAAAATTGTTTGTACAATAAAAGCAATTATCAAGTTTAGGCTACATCTTAAACGAGAGAAAGCGAGAGATAAAAAAAAAACACTTTGGCCTGTTTATCGCCTTGCCAGTCTGATAAGCTCCGCCCCTTTCCACAGAGCTGTACCCGCACTTCCCGCCTTCTGCTTTCTCACACACTCTCTCTCAACCACAGAGCCTTTACTGGAAGAAAAACATACCAGCCGACCGTATTTTCTTCTGAAACTAAATATTAAAGAAAAAAGCATTCGGGCTAAATGCTAAATTCCATTGGTGCATATTAATGAGGGTTCAATATAGCGAATATCATATGTGACCCACAAGATGTTACAGGTTTCCTACGTCAATGATGCCTTTAAATGTGATTAAAGTGTTACTTTCCAATCTCTTTCACACACACAAATACAGCCACACTATCTGTGGACAAATTCTTTGTAACTGAAATGCCCAATCTGCACCCTGCACTCCAATATTTCACACAGCCTCCAACATCCACTTCGTTTAGTTCCTTAAAGATCAAGTGTGTCGGGTTTATGTGGCTTTCAAAAAATATTTGTTTCTCATGAGAATGCATTGTTGTCAGTCCTCTCTACAGTTATAGTGTTAGTGCGAATACTCATATAGTTTAATCAGGTCATGTCAC